AGAGTGCATCAGGAACTTTCCTATTTATTATCCAATTATTAGTTTCCTAGACCAGTAGAAAGTAGAACTCGGTAGCCCTTTCCACCGTTGAGGCAAAATACATTACTGTAGGAAGCTGTGCTGCTTAAGCCTTATGACTAAAGAAATAAATCTTAGATCTTAGACTACATGTAGGCACCATTTCCTATCATGTGTGAAAATGCTAATGCCATTTGCATATCCAAAAATCTAATTCAACAATCTTGCACAAAGCATATATATATTAGGCATCACATATAAGAGATCATGTAGCCAAGGGATTTATAAAATTACATCATATAGCTACTATAGACCAATCAGTATACATCTTCACTAAACCCCTAGCCTATGACACATTTAGCAACTTTAGCACCTTACATACATCTTCACACCCCTAACTCAGAATAAATTAGAATTTTGTTTATCATTTGAAAATTTTCATTCGTATATGTTATATTATATGTGTTTGTTTTTGTATGTTAATTTATGTGTTATCATTTTTGCATAGTTATGTTTAAAAGATGTTTTTTTTGATCATCACATACTCTCTCTTCACAAGATTAAAAAAAAATTTAAAAAAAATGGAAAATCAAAATTTAGATCATATTGTATGATCCACATTCGTACTATACGATATGACCATTTATGCATAAATCATAGAAATTAGCTAAATAATCATCCTCCATAAGTATAATTATTGATGATAATACTATACAAATAACACTTTGTAATGTATAATACATGTTAAAATCAATTTGGAAGAATTCAATTCAGCTAGTATGATCATAATTGCACTTCGTAATGTACAAACCTTGATTTGTACTGTATGATCCCCGCGTTAGAATTTATTAGGATGAATTCAATTCATTAGGTATGATGATAATTGCTCTTTATACTGTACGAACACCTGTCCGTATTGTACGATACATTTAGTTGAAAGTCATTTTAATGATTCATCAGGATTAACAAAATTCTTTAAGATCATCCAATATGATACTGGTCATACTTTACAGTTTGAACACCTTTTCCCAACAAAGTCATCCATATGATTTAAATCTCTTAATCGTACTATATAATCTCTAATTGTACTGTATGATGTTCTTAAATTTTATAAACTAGAGGGTTTATAAGTTTTTAATCCATTCAAATCCTTCTTTATCTACATTCCTACATTCATAATGCTTGGATTCTCTAATGGTCGGTGGAAGTAAATGTGGTCAAATGACCCAAGGAAGCTCCTCTTCCTCTTGTCTCTTCGATAATTAATTTCTATCCACTAAAGGGAAAGATTCCTACTATAAATTCAAAGAGGCTCACACCACTCCTTCCAGAATCCCAAAGCTCATGATTGTGTCAATAATACTCCACTTCTTTTCTGAGTCACCTATTTCATAATGACAAATACTAAATTTGATGAAGCTCGAATGATTATTGACTATATCCAAAACATGACTCTAATTCGACATCCATATACAATAAGAAAGTAAAATGTCGCACTAGGATATGTCATAGTCTATGTCTTAGATAAGAAATACCAAATCACCTACCCTACCCATCTCGATAATTTTTCCATTTTCTATATGTAAACCTCCTTTTATACTTTTCCATTTGGGGCAAGAGCATGACGAGCCAGATTTTGATGAAGAAGGGGAAGATGCTCCTATAGGTGGACCTACACCACAAAATGCACCACCACTAATACCACCACCTGCACCTGCCAACCTTGCCTACCCTCATGAAGAAATAATTTAGAGGCTCGGGAGATTTAAAACTCAACTAGATTATCACATTCAATAATAACAGCAACAACACAAGGAAGAAATGGGATGGTTTGGAAAAATATTTTCCAAAATTGAAGATCAATTCGCCTCCATCCATAATTATTTTTAATAGTCACCACCACCACCACCTGATCAGGACCTATCTTACTTTTAGTTATTGTTTGTTGTGTTTTATTATTTTTATGTCTAGTAATGTATAGCTTTTTTTTTTTGTGTTCCTACACTTTTTGATGATGTTAAAATGGAGAGTGAGGGGGAGTTTAGGAGAAAAGAATTTTATTTTACCTCTCAACCAAAATTATTTGTCATAATCAAAATGGGAGAGATTGTTATTATCTAGGATCACTAGTCTATGATTTTAATGATGAAAAACATTATTGATTAAATTGTTATTTTTATGAATAAATATTATATAAATATATATATATATATAGTATGTGAGCACTAACATTGTTGGGAAAATATACATTGCTCAAGGCTATTGGAAACTCAACATTGGGAAAAATATGATATAAGTAAAAGAGTATGTACTTTTAATTTATTTTATTTTCTATTTCTAGAGTCTGGCCATAAAAGAGTGTATGAAATTGGGTAATCATGCACACATACAAGGGGAGTAAGAAAAATTTGAAGTTAAAATTTTTTGTACTAATCATATTGTGCGACTTATAATCAAATTGTACGATCAATTATATGGAGAATGAGTTTAACGACTAATTGAATATTTAATTTTTGTGAATTAATCATATTATATGATTTGTTATGATCTAAAAACCTTAGCACTAGATAAATTAAGTAGATATTCAAAATTTAAATTTTGAACTATATTTGTATTGTATGATGTGATTCATACTATATGAAAATTTTGTAATAATACTTAAATTAACCCGTGAAATTAGTCATTCAAATCGATTTAATTAATGCTATATGATTTTAATTATATTATACAATTGATGGAGATGAAGTTTGGTCATCCCAAAGATCATACCTAACCAAACCATGCTTTTTGAACTTATCATATTGTATGAAGTTCACATCATACAAGACAAATCATTAAAAATTATCTAACTATACTATACGATGATAGTAGTATGGGATAATTGACAGAGATGATTTCCAATCATCCCAAGAATTATATTATACGAATAGATAGAAATTAAATAGATTATACTGGATGAACATAGGATCATATTGTACGATGTGTCTGAAAAGTTGAACAGGTCATCTGAAATGATTATTCATATCATATTGGATGGAACTAGCTTTTTAAATGATCATACTATATGACTATATATCATATTGTATGAACAGAAGACAGCTCACATAAATTTTAAGATTTTTGAAGCTCATTTCTTAAGAAACTCTTATAAATTCATTTTTAAAGTGAGAGAGGATAATGTGAATACTGAAGGAACTTTGAGAGAGGTGCTTTTGAGAGGAAACTAGGGTTTGATAGGAAGGAGAAGGTAATGTTGAATATGAGGGAGAAGGAGTATGAGGAGATCACATGGTTACTCTGGGCTAGCTACACCCTTACTTCTTCTGTGGCCTTGGTGAATCCTTGAAGGATCTCTTCATAGAGAGGCTTTTAAGTCCAGTTTCATGGTACTTTGCCTTCTCCAAGAGGGAGAAAATGATTGGAGGTGCTCTACCTTTTCCAGGAGGGAGAGAAAGATTGGAGGTATGCTACCTTCTCTTGGAGGGAGAAAAAATTTGGGTTCTCTACCTTCTCTAAGAGGGAGAAAAAAGATTCAAGGTTCGATGCCATCATTAAGAAGGTGACATAGCTTCTGGCACTCTGCCACATCAGATTTGGTGAAATTGAGTCTGTAAGAGCTTCTCCATCTTGCTATGGCAGTAAAAGGAGAGTCACTTAGTCTTAGTGCAACACATGAAGTGGAAGACTCTAGGAAGAGTACGTAGGTCAAAGTTGATCGAGTCACTATAAAAATTTCTGGTGCGCTATTTCATTTTTTGCAATTTAACTTTCTTATAATTTTTTATCTTTGCAAGTTGAGTTTATTGGTTTCAATCTTATCAATCAACTATATTGAGTTTAAAACTTTTTTCCACAAGAATATTTGCATGTGTTAAAAAATTAACAAAAAAAAATTATATAAATTGTTTCTGCATGTTATTTTGTATAATCTGTATGAATCATGTTTTTAAGTTATTTAAAGTATTACTCTTGCTTAGGGATTTTTTAAAATTATCAATTCAACCCCCCCCCCCCCCCCATCCCCCCCCCCCCCCCCCCCCTCTTGGTGCACCACAGGCTAGTTATGTGAGGTTTATTAACCTTCTCGAACTTTCACAACCCAACCTTCATTTATTCCTAGATTCTTTAGCACAGTTTATCCCTAGATGTCCACGAACTTAAAGGAACCAAAATCCCCTACTTGGATTTGTTCTCTAGAGGTAAATTTCAAGCATGAGATCCTAAGTTTAGGGGTCCAAACCTTTATGAATAAAATCTACACTCCACTACCATTTAACTATTTGATGGGTGAGTTTCCTCATATAACTAACTACCATAACTAAATTATAAAATTTCTTATTATAGTAGTTTATCTTTGTAGTTGGATACCCATTTAAAAAAATTAAAACATCTAATAAAGGCTTTTTTCCTTAATTTGATTATTTGAATTAAGTCTAAGTGGATTATTTGGCCTTAGATTTTCATAGTTCTGAGGAGGTGGGTTCTAATTTCCTACTTGGTTTAGTTGACAAGAATTCTTGTTATTACCCCCATTTTGACTACAACTCTAATCAAAGTTAGGGTGATTTTTTAACCTAGGTTGTAAGTATTAGAGAAAGGGTTATTTTTTTTATTATTGATGGCATTTAATAATTCAATTCTTGATGCATTTGGGTCACTAAATGATCCATACACACTTTCTTTTATTGGTACAGTTGTGTATAGGGATGAACTAACTCCAATGTTATCTAGCTTTTTAGGTCTTGTTGATACGTATGAAGTAACATTTTTATAAAGTGTCAGACTCATACACACTAGCTACTTTCTTAAGGTTTACTCTCTCATATGGCCATTACAAATCACTATTGGGAATTTATTTAATCAAAGCATCTGCTTTATCATAGGGTTTGGAAATCAAACATCCTCCAATAATTACATCTATAATGGATATAATATAATCTACAAGACCATTATAGAATGTATGAATAATAAGCCAATCGAATAATACATGTTGGGGGCACTTCCAACGTAATTCCATGAATCTCTCCTAAGCTTCATAAATTGATTCTTCATTTTGTTGGGTGAATAAGATAATGTCATTTTTAAGTTTTACAGTTTTGGATGATGAAACATACTTATATCAAAATTTTTGAACAAAGTCATTCATGGTGGTGATTGTTCCTAATGATAAAGATTTCAACCACATATTAGCACTTTCTCTTAATGAGAATAGAAATAACCTAAGTGTAATGGTGTTATCAGAGACACCATTATACTTAAATGTAGCACATATCTCCAAGAAACTGCTATATATAGGTTTCGATCTTCAACAGGGGTTCCCCCGAACTAAGAATTTTCTACCATTTGGATGATTATAGGTTTTACCTCAATGTTGTTAGATTGAATATTTGTTTTATTAATACTTTTATGAATACCATAAACCATAGGTTTAGCATATTCTCTAAGTAGTCTAGGTTGGTTATTCTCCTAAATTGGGTTAGAAATTTTTACATAGTTTTGTGATTTTACTATATTTTCTGATTTTTAAAAAGTTCCTTAAATTTCAAAATGAAATAAAGTTTCTCCTCCTTTTTCCCTATTATTTATGTAATAGAAACACACACAATAAGAAAAGGGTAAAGCTCAAAATAGTTGAACAATTGAAATTCAAAAATACTAACTTTTAACAAAATATAATAATATAACTAACACAAAACTTGTCAAATAAAGATTAGGATAAGATTAAATCACTAATTCATTCAATAATATAAAGTGCAATAAATGATAATGAACTAAAATTGTTGGTAATGGCGCAAAAAATAAAGATAGGCAGACCTCACACTACTATTCTTTTAATTATATTTTACTATAATTTAGTGTAGATCATGTTCTACAAAAGTATATGCATCATTTCAACTAATAAAGTGATAAGAAAAGTATCATTCCCATCATGATTGGAATTACCCTAAGGTCACCCTAGTACTGCCTATATGAACTACTTAATTTATATTGTTAATCAAATAAGAAGGCATGCAATTAAAATTTAAAAGCTACATATTCAAGAGATAATCTACAATTAAAATACTTTTGACCTATGATTTTTAAAATACATGTATGTAATAAATAGAATTTTCTAAATGTTGCTATGAATTAGAGCATAACTACCCCTCATCTCTATCGAGTTTGTTAGACTATTAGCTAAGATTTCTCTCAACTCCAATTTTAATATCATGTTAAGCACCTATAACCTTAACCACCATATATTTATGAATGATAAAGTTACATTTTAAAACCCTAGTTGTTCTTCTGCTTCTCTGTTGAGGCTGTAGATCACACTAAAGTTTAAATTTAAGGACTCTACATAAACTAAATTTATCATGGAGGATTTTAAAATGGCCTTAAATAATAAAAGTAAACATAAATATGATCTAAAGTAGAACATACTTTCTAAAATATCATACTCCTAGAGAAAAACTTTTAGAAATATAGAGGTATATTAAATAAAATACAATTAATTATAATTTATAAAATAAAAGTACAAGAGATAAGTAAGGATCAAATCAGCTAAAAATCCTTCACAACATAATTATAGACTCGTTGCACTTCTTCCTTCTCTCTCTAGACTTGTACTAGACTAATATAACATGAATAAATGGCTAGCGCCCACTAGAAGTAGCCTCACATATACACACACACTCTCCCTCGTACCTTTGCAACTAGCTAACCCCCTTACATGACATATAAGCACCCTATTTATAGATATTTTAAATAACATAATTGATGCCATGATGCTGACCTAGTAGCACTATGGTGCAACAAAATCGACATGTTAGTACACCATTCATCGCATATGTTTGCTGGTGTTGGAAAATAGAACATCATCGATTCAAGTTGGGGACCCCTATTTTTGTTATTGATGCTATATTGAGAATAAAGTAACATATCAGGAGAAACACAATATTTTGTAATGGATTCAACTATAAAATTAAAGTTTTATAAAATATCAATTCTATGATAAAAAATAATTTAAATAACATATCATCTTGAGAGATGAATATGAAATTTTATAAAAAGTGTTTGAAAAGAGAAATGAATCTATTAAATTTGTCATCCTTATAATCAAATACATCTAAGATAATAGTTAGCATCTAAAAAGTTGAATGTAAAATTCTATGAGGGACTTATGAACAAGGATGAATTTTTGAAAAATTTTAATAATTATACTATGATATATAATGGAAAGAATATTTTGTTATCTTAAGAAATAACGATGATATTGAATAAAAGCATTTAAAAGTAAAAGTGTGTTTTGAAAAAGACCATCTACACTCCTAGAGATTTTTCTCCAATTTTATAAGAATAAGATAGGCTTAATTTTTGATCTGGAGGTTCCATAAGGGCAAGCTTTTATGGTTAATTACATCTTAAGAGGGGTACTCTTAAGAAAGCTCTTCATTGAAGTAGTGATTTATTTCAATTGACACAATTTAAGAAGAATATAGAAGTGGGAATTTCTAAAATAGTAAACTCAACATTGAATAGATCTTAGTGAGCCAAGGAGTGAAGTAGTTGACATAAAAATATAAAAAACTCAAAGGTAACCCAAGTCTATGTTATTTTGAGCTTTATAGTTTAAAATGGAAATTTATTATTAAGTTGAAATTTTATTAAAATGGTCAAATGAAATTCTTAAAGGTTGAAGACTTATGATTTTGGGTCGACCTTAGAACCTAGAACTGAAGTGAATTACTATAAAGTAGCAACTCAAACCTAATCTAATGATATGTAGAATAAGGAAATGGGCCTTACATCTTTAACTATTGGAAAAAGTTTTGGGAATGCCCAAAACTTCTTGACTTATATTCCTTTCAGGAATAGTAATGCAAGCTATAACTCATAATCACTTTTGAAACATTATTTTAAGTTTCATATAATGCAAGATAATTGCAATGTTGTTATTATTTAACTTTTTGGAAATAGGGCTGACATGTAAGTAATTCCTAAATGGCCCCTAACCATGAGGGATGGATTTATGATTCTAATGCTAAATACAATTAAATTTTATTTTCTTTAACTGGTTTCTAATACAATACATGCTAATACACTCAATGTGATAAATCAAAACATTTAATTTTAAAAAGGCTTAAAAATAGGTTTTATCCTCAAAGAGCATAATTCGCTTGAGTCAGAACTACACCATCATAGGTGAGGTGATATGTTCACGCCTACAAGAAGGAAGATGTCTAGTTTTTGCGGCTAATTTATGTTATAGAAGTTAGAGAGAGAAGCTCTGAGAGAAAATTTGTTTTTGCGACTGATTTTCAAATTTTGATTACGCGGGTTTTCTGTACAAGCTTATGGAGACGGAGGGTCGCCAGCCACCCATCTCCGGTGGCTCTGTGGAGGCTTGGTACTCCACCATTGGTAATTCTCATGGAGCAGTTCGGTCATTTTCCTCATCTCTTCCTGCATTCGGAGACATCCATCCAAGCTTTGCTCAAGGTTCAAAGGAAAAACTTTGTACGGGAATGCCGTTAGTAATCAATGAAGGAGGATCTATTATGCCTTCCAAAAAAGCTCCTAAAGTGGAAGGGAAAGGAAAAGCTATGATAGCTGATAATGAAGCAATTGTGCATCTGAGAAAAGTGGAATTCCTAGAATTTTACATATTGGTGAAGCTTCTCCATCATCAAAGTCATTTCCTAAGCTGGTGATAGAAGAAAATACAAGCAATGGTATAGAACCTATTTTACAAAATGCCTCTATAAAGATGAATGGTGTAGACCATAATCTGGGTCATGCTGTGGTTGAAACAAAAAAGGTCTCTCTGGAAAATGTTGATACAGTAGACACTGTAATCCAAGACTTAAATAAATCTGACTTGGAGCAAGTACGTGAATGCAACAATGGAGACTTGGGATTGTGCAAGGAATATATGAATGAGGTTACAGAAAGACCAAAACAAATTAACCAATAGAATGGTTGGAGCAAGAAGGAACATATAAAGGTAGCTCATCTAGAATTGGGAGATTTTTTATCACAAGATGGAGCTACAGTTAAACTAAATGAAGACAAGGTGATGGAAAATTCTAAAAGACTTCAAAACTCAATTGTGATCAAGGTTTTTGGTAGCAAAACTCCTTTTCCTGTGGTTAGTACCAAACTCAGAAGGCAATGGGCTTCCTATGGGAAGTTCCATCTAACAATGTTAGGATTGGATTGGGTGCTTTGTTCCTTTTATGATAAAGAATCAATGGAGGCAGTCTACTCTAATGGCCCTTGGTTTGTAAATGGCAAGATCATTGGGATGGACAAGTGGTCTGCAAGCTTCAATCCGACATCCTTAAAAGGCTTGAGTGCTCCTATTTGCATAAGACTTCCTGGCCTCCCACTTCATTGTTGGGATGAAATCAACATTTGCAGAATTGCTTCTATGGTTGGAAAACCCCTCATGATTGACGGCAATTTGTTTCAATGGGGTAGAAGGGAGTTTGGAAGGGTTTGTGTTCGCCTTAATTTGGACACTAACTTACCCATGGGAATTTGGGTGGAAGAAAGCTTGGGCAATTTTTTTCAAAAAATAGAGTATGAAAGGCTTCCAGATTTATGTTTTTGTTGTGGGAAAATTGGCCATAATAAAAACTCTTGCTTGAAAAAACAACCAAATGAAACTAATGTTTCAAAGGTAGCTGATGAGATTTCAATGGAATTGGCTGATGGCAACTTGAATGAAAGTAAAACAGCAAAAGTAGTAGCTCCAAATGCAGAAAAAATTTGATATGGCCCCTGACTTCAGGTCAATTATGGCAGAAAAAGAAATTTTATAAACTCTAGCGGGAATTCCTTCTCCTGGGTTAACAAGCATAATGTTGTAAACATAGCTGCTGCTGGTAGTAACCATCATGTATGGAAGGCAATAGAAGCTGTGAAAACATCTAATGTGGAGGATTCTGGTAATCATACAGAGGAAGTCATTCTAGATCCTCAATCCAAAAAGGAGGACCACCCAGCATTCCAAGATGTTAAAGGTATGAATGTTCATTCCTCTAACATTATCTCTGTTAACAAATTTAGAATCCTGGATGATTTAGTAGAGGAAGGTGAAATCAC